CTTCCAACCGGGGAACAAAGAAACTCACTCGATATACCTGACGCTAACAGACCTCGCGGGGGAGAGAGAACGAGAAAGGGGAAGGGAAGAGAGAGAGAGAGAGAGAGAGAGAGAGAGAGAGAGAGAGAGAGAGAGAGAGAGAGAGAGAGAGAGAAAGGGAGACGGACAACAGAAGAATCCTCATCGAGGTCCGAGTCCGGTTCGAGTCTGTATACATATACTGCACCGGTACCGGCTCGCGGCTGCCTTGTTCGCACAGAGCACCGCTGAATATATCCATGAGCCTTATATATACGTATATCTATATATATAACATGCGGTAGAAGGCCTAGCATGACGACATAACAGGACAAAGAGTTTACGCTTTACACACTATATCCCCTCGAGGTTTTACACGAAACCGGCGTAACCGAACTCCTGCTCACTTGCTCCGGTAGCTTCGGGCTCGCGTCCAAGCGTGATGAGACAGCGATCAGGGAGTTTGGTGGAAAAAAATGTGATGAGCGCGTGAAATTCATTTTTATCGGAAATAAATCGATTTTACAAGACGACTTTACCTACGCGAAACGTCCACGAGAAAGCGTCAATTTGATTTACGGTTTTTATCTCCCAGGATGTGGGTGTGGGCCGAAGAAAAATAAAAGAATCGCTAAAAAAATATGATTTAAGAGAAAGTGAAGGATTCGCCGTGCAGGAGAAACAACGCGGACCAGTTTTGGGTCCGTTTTATGAAACTCTCAGAAATTATCCTTCACTTTCGTCAATCAGTGTTTCATGAATGAAAGGAAACTTTTGACACAAGAGTTGGTGAAACGAGTTTCCAGGTATCGGTCTCAACCTGCGATTAGTACTTGCGGAGACAGACAGATCCTGTCACCGTATACAGCAACGAGGGTCAATATGAACGTCACAGCGAGACCCTCGAACCATTGCATTGGCCGAGCGCTGATTACCTCATTGTTGCTACTGAACTGCGAGTAAAAGTCACGGTTTTTTGCGTAAAAGGCGCGCGAAACAGGATGTCGAATTGGGACACTCGCGATTGCGGAAATCGACTAGCAGTCAGTTGTTGAACATTCAGCTACTACCGGTCGTTGCTTTGGTAAGTATCCTATTTATTTTCCATCTTTCTATCCCTCCTGAAACTCCCGAAAAAGCTGCCGACCAACGAGCAAACGGATATATTGTTTAAGCGAAAAGGAGTTCAATGTTGAATTAAATAGATACGGTTAATTAAATCGTACGCAACACAATTCGAACTTGATGTGTGTACCTCGACATTGCACAAATTTTCAATCGAGATATAATCATACCTACATAAAAATTTGTGACTCAAGAAAGCATCGTCGTTAGAAATTCTCGCATTTTATGACTTTAATGGTTAACTTAATAAGACACAAGATGGTTTATTTCTGTGGTTAGACAATCAGGCCTGTACGTATATAGATGACGATATTTCATTGTACTTTATTACACGACAGTTATAATTTTAATTAGCGGAAGCGACGCTCGCGGTCAGTACGGTCCTCGGAGTATCGCCAACACTTGAGACCTATATGCATGGTCGTTGTTGTGAGTCACGATGACGCTTTGACAAAAATAAATCGCAGGATCTAGACATTCTAGACGATCTTACATGGTGATTAAAAGGCTACGCTGACGATGTAGAATAACGGATTTAATAAGATGACAACGTTCAGATCACGATTTCATACGTAACAATCTGTAATAAATGTTCTCGCGTGCGTGTGTCAAGCGCGGTTTTAATTTTTCATTCAAGGTATTAGCTTATCATTGAAAGGTGCGCGAGAGTCGCAATTATATCCGGCCTCAATTTATCTATCGCCTTTCAAGATTCCAATTACCACGCGTCCAATAATTATCGTTGATAAAACACTAAAGAATCGTCGTCAATCTGATCGATGATTTATCATGTAGGATATAGTTAAGTGTAGTAATTAATTGGAAAATTAAGATTATTAAAACATGGTAAATTCCTGTCTGTGAATGAGCAGTGCGTGATACAGATGTACTGCGCGTTCGCGTGAATAAAAGATTAGAGAGAAAGTGGTCAATTAGAATCGCCTTACACCAAACGTTGGTTGAATAAATGCACCCGCTCGGTGTTTACTCGAAAACTTGAATTCGACGACAAAAAAAGATCCTGTCGTGCAGCAGCTGTCGAGATTCCCAGCTCTAAGACGATCCTTAAAACCAGATGCTCCGATTATCAAACATTTCGGGCATCCACATCTGGATACTTCGCGTGATACAGCAAAGTGAAAGAAATAAGTTCGAGAAACTAGATTCACGTTGTGTAAAGGAAAATCTTTGATGAATTGTGTCGCTTCTTAAATTAATAATTGCTGTTACATTTCCCATTTTATGTAAAAGAACATTTAATAAATCATCAGCGTTCTCGGGAACAAAAGACTAAATTAGAATTGTCGACGAAGTGTCAAAAGCATTCACGAGTTTTGTAAGTTTGTTAAGCTGACACTGCCATTTTAGCACAAACAGACTGAATATACATTTCGTTTGCAATCCGATTTTGTTGATTCATCTGTAATTTTAAAATATTATCCCCATTTACAGTACTTTATTGCAATTTCATCAAATTTTAAACTCAATGGCACAGTTAGGTATTGTTTGTAACTTACTGTTTTTTTTTTTTTTTTTTTTTCCAAAACTGGAAGGCCGGTATTTATAATCGGTTCTTATTTAACAAGACTGTCTTAACTAATGTCTTAAGATGCTAATATGGCTCTGTGATTGGTTCATAACATCTTAAGATCGTACTTAAGATGGTCTTAAATAATATAAGAACCGACTATGAACCGGCCTAAGATTGCAGCAGCAAAATCGAGAGTAAAATAAGAGAAAAAAAAAACGTTTACTGTACATGTTTAATATAGTTGTATTAAATCAGCTGCGCTAAAAGCGCACGTTGCGCTATTAAAATAATTGCAATTTTCATCACATTCATTGAGAAATGGAATTTTCTTTCCATTAAAAAAATTTTATATTTATCCAACATTAGAAGCATAAAATTTATGTTACGTGCGTGTGCATGTGTCACAGCAATGTAAAGTTTGTATAGATATAATGTAAACATCTTTCTTTCGTTTATCTAACTTCAAAGCGGCATACGCCTTCGGCCTTGATAAGAAACCCACCAGCCATCGTACAAACGTTTAATAAGATTTTTTTAAACGTTTTAGAAGTAAACGACCATAAGAGTAACAATTCTATAAAAAAATCATGAAAATGATCCACAAGACCATTAAATTTTTGTCGAATTATTTCGATTCCTTAAAGCATGCTCGGTGAAATTCACCGGAATAGCGTTGCTGCATTAAATAATTTGCGTACTGATTTGCAGACAACTTTCATGAATTCGTTAACACGTAGAGCTAATTATAGCCGAATGTAAATAAATTTTAATACCAATTTTAGCATATTCAAACGTCACTAATTAAGACCGACGACAGCTAGCTCTGCTTTCCACTATTCTTGATACCACGTCGATGCGTGACTTTCTCCATGACCCATTAGAGCCACAAATCGACTTGCAAATGCTAAACGTGATATCCCTGAATGTAATAAGATTTACATTAAAAAATAAAAAGTTGAAACACAATTTCTCTAGAATTATCTAAGTCTGTATTATCGATAATATACAATAGTTAACTCTAACAAATACTTGACGCAAGTTTTACACGAAATATGAATTTATGTACATAGAAAGTTTCGAAAGTATGCGTTGCAAAATTAAATTAAAAAATTTAAGATATTTTTTTCGTAAATGTAATATAAAGTGAGCTATAAAATAAAATCTTGTAAAATTGTAAAATAAATAAATGTTTTAATTATTATAAATATATTTGAAGGTAGAAATATTCTGAAACAATCATGTCTCATAGAAATATTTATCCTAATATTTCATTATAAATGTCAAAAGTCCGAATATGCATACATTATTCATATACATTATGAGTTGTTAATTTGCAGGCCGATTTTATGGTGAGAGTAACACAATATGTATAGTCCAATATGATTTATCTAAACTGCGTAAAATCATGAATATGTAGAAATTCTGAACACCTTTCGTATCCGTGTTGTACAGATAATTGAAACGTGTTGTTGCAAAACGCGAACACAATTGCGTGTACAGAGCGAACGATAAGATCGCTTTTTCTCGAGCAGCGGAACAGACGAAGAAGCCTATTTCGCGAGATAATCCGGTTTCGTGCTCTAAAAAATATAATATCGAGGTCGACTTCACGTGACATCGGCACCTTTGTCCTTTCCACGCGCGTCAAAGAAAATTGCGGATGTAGACGTCCTGCGTGCGTGCGTGCGCGTGCGTGTCGCGTGTGTGATCCGCTCTTCGCGTTACGTTCGTTCCTTCCACATGTTAGGATAATTATATAAATGCGTATCATATATACATATTTAATTGTAAGACATAACTACGTCCGGTAGACATGTATACAGAGTGTCTCGGAAATCATGTACTTTCTCTTCTTTTTTCTAGAACAGCGTGTGAACTTGTCTCGAGAAATGTACGACTTCGAATGCACTCTGTATGCTTTTTACTTTAATAGTTATCTCGTAACGTTCGTGGAAATTAAAAGTAATTAATACTTTTTCGATATTTGCCGTAACAAAAATATTGAAACAGCAATATTTAAAATTAAGGGAACCGCAAATTAAAATTCTCAGTAGACGAATAACAATAAAGCTTTGTTTTAAGGAGATTTCCATGCAAGTTAAGCTTGTAAACAGAATTTTAATTATAGTTATCGAAATATCCATGGAATATTCCTAAATCTTGAAAAAAGATAACTAACGTTTCAGTTAGGGACAAATTCCTTTCGGGAACTGTGTGGACAATGTGCACGATTCTATGATCACATGAAGTAAGAATCGCGTGCTGACTTAAAAAAATTCGTACATATATATCCGTCATATCCGTCATATCCGTGATGGGCAAGTACCTTCGCGTATTTGACGTCTCTTTATGGGTTGCGGCGCACCAGTGCGTCTTCTCCTCGCGTAGGTATGAACCGGCACGATCAATCTCGGTCGCGGAATAAGGAAGCCCCCCTGAGCGTTGCCAGGTGGCGGCTGGTTCACTTCGGGGGACTCGCTGTCGGTGGTGCCAGTGCTGCTGGACCCCCGGGACCGCGCGTCCTCCTCCCTCGTCGCGGACGACGCGTTCGGATCCTCCAACGCAGCCTCGAGCCGCGACACCACCTCGTCGGCGTAGGGTCGCCTGGTGTAGGGCTCGTCGTCCGGTTGCCTGGGGGAAATTTTGCCGCCGCCGCCGTTGCTGGTCCAGTTTACCCCGCACTCCCGCCAGCTCGCCTCGTACAGCAGCTCCATGGCCCTGCCGCGCGTCGCGTCCGGGTCCAGGAGAAGCTCGGGATCCTCCAGAACCGCCCGGCCGGGATAGCTTCGGACCTTCATGACCTCGAAAGTCGCGTGCGCGAAGATCGTGAGGCGGAGATCGTGAAACCGAGTCGGCCGGGCTGGGGCCCCGCTCTAACACGACGGCCTACTCGCCGACGAGACTTTCGCTCGCGATTTTTCTTTTTTCGATCCTCTCGAACTCAGCACGGAGCTCTACCGCGCAAAGGTCAAAAGTCGAGGGCCGCGTGGCGACAACGCCGGCGTCGCTTTCATCCGGCGAGACGAGATTAATGGCGTTTCTGTAGGTAGACGCATTCTTGACCTTCCCAGGTAGCTCTTCTAGTAGATCTACGTTTGTTTCGATCTTCTTTTAGCTCTTTGCCAATTACAAATCGATCGATCCTTGTGCACGAACAGAAACGGAGCATCAGCCGGAGCAAAGCGGTTCACTGGGATGACGACAGTTTCAAATTCACAGATCGGATTCAATGAACGTTGAATGGAAACGTGAAGCTCCAGTTGAAACAACCGAGAAGCATCACGGCACGAGTCTGGCGTCGGTTCAAGAAGAAGATCGAAGAACAACGCCGCGTGAAAAAAAAGTCCACTTATCCTCGGACTTTCGCATCGATCATCGGGTTCGAGAGCCGCCGCCGGCGTTCCCCGGCCTGTCCGTCCCGATATTTATGTGGTTTACTATTCCGTTACGTACGAAAGTAGGCGGACTGCCGGCAGACGGACGACCAAGACCAAGAAACAAGCTCGACGGACATTGACGTCGGATCCGTGCATTCACGATCGTTCATTCGCGACTTCCGCCATCCGGCCGTCCGTCACTGTGGCGAACCGCCGGCACGGCGCGGAACATTGGCGCGCCGCGGAAAACCGAGTCATCGCCGGCTGCCGGATCTTCTCGATCTGAAGAACCTGTCGATGCGCTTTTATCGTTTCGCGTTGTTCTCAACGCGAACTAGATGCCTATCATCGCGCGGGCGCGATCGATCAGGCGCACATCGACAAGTCTTCCGTGTTATTTATAAAAATACTAAGCGAGCCGATCGCGAAATCGTTTCCTCCGCACTCGTGTTGGATCTTGCGACCTGGACCCTCGACACAGATGATCGATGAACGGCGATGAACAGCGCTGAACGGCGTCGCGTCGCGCGTAATGCTGATTTTGAAAACAATGCGGGAGAGGAGTTCTGTCAAAGGAGGACACCGCGATCGCGAATCGCGTCGCGTCTGACGCTCGCACTGACAGTATTCGCGACTGGTGAAAAGTATGCCCGTGAGCGGCAAGCAGCACCACGAGAAACCTCCCTTCCCTCGGCGAGCCGCGGCTGCCGAGGGAGTCCCCACCATGGATATGCGCTTTGAAGAGAAAGGACAGAGGTTCTCATTCCGTCGCATTCGCCCCCGCAACCGCTCCCACGTATATGAGTGCAACGGCACTTTTTTTTCTGCGAAGGTCCGGGACTCGGAAATTATAAGGGGGCCCCGCTAACTTCATTACCGGAAAAAGATTTAATGAGACGACGAAGATAAACATAATTTCTCGTGTAAATGCAAAAAGATACAGGGAAAACAATTTGTAATCCAATTTAGTGTATAAAATATGTTATAAAAGTATTTATAGCATATAAAAATAATTTTTGTATATCTACACATATTTGTGTACATACACAAAAAGTATTACATTTGATGCTTCATCTTTATGATATGCATTTCGCAATGATTTGACATTATTATATTTTATTTTATTTTTTGTTTGACAATCTATGTTGGAAAAAAATGTGTTTCAAAAATTCTCAATCAAATTAAAGTTAGAGATATCTAGATATTTCAATACTTAGATAATATTTAAATTAATTTAGATATGAGAGATATTTATTTAAATTTCTAGATATTTAAATATGCGTTTATATATTGAAATTCGTTAAACTAACACACAGTACATCCGATTTAAATTTCTGAAGCGTAATAATGACTAACAGAAGACGTAGATATGACTAATAAAAAATGCCCATTTAATGACGTTAAACAACATCACGATATAGTGTGTACTAAATGCGTGCACGCGGGGAACGTTCGCCGTTTAATTACGTAACTGTAACAACACGGATGAGTGATAATACTAATGATTAAATCAGTTGAGAAAGAGAGAGAAAAGCGGCGCAAGCATCGCATTTTTACGTGAAAGTAAAATGCGGCGCTTCATTACGAAATAACATCGAGACGATGCCTTTGTCCAACAGAAATCCAATTCCGGAAGAAGGAGAACCGCGTCGGAGCAGGAAATAATAGCTTTTATATAAATTCGATTTTACGTCGATATCCCACGGATCGTTTCTATCGTCAGGATCAATTAACGTTGTTCGTATTTTCGTTTGCTAGTTCGTATTGCGGAAGAATGCTCATCGCACGAATATTTAAATATGTTTTACATTCGAGATCCGAAGGTACCAATTGTATAGAATTACAATATTATAGAATTAAATACTATCTGATTACAATTAAAATCTGAATTGGATAATGTTCAATTCAGATGTCCCTGAAGATAGGTTTAGCGCTGAGTGTGCATGAATTAATGAATAAAATTAAAAACTTTTTTCGTATAAATTGTGATTAAAATATATATTTGTACAATAAAATATCTGTCAATTTTAGACGCAATTATCATATATTTTATTATGTATATCTTTCTCCAACTGTGAAAAAAAATAGATTTCTAGAAAAAGAATTATTTTCAAAAGGCTTAGTTAGAAAGAAGTAAAATTTATTTAAACTGATATGGTAAGTGTGCAATTTTCGCACTAATGTTCGTCTTAATAAATAATTGACTTTACCGATTTTACCGTGAACACAAAGTTAAGGTCGATGATAAGTGTCTGTTTGATATGCGCGTAAATTACTCTTGCAGTTCTTTCCCGTTATGGCAGAATGTTTAAGCTTAGGAGTTACACAATCATATTTGCGCCAATATCTCGAGCATTGTGCACCATTTGCGTTCCAATTTACGTAAATGGTAATAGGCCTGTTCGTTTTAGCTGAAATTCTTGCGCGGTTCGTCTTTTCTCTTTTTCTCTCCAACGTGAAAAGAATAAGAGGAAAGATAAACCGTGCAAGAAGTTTAGCTAAAACGAACAGGCCTAATAATTTCGATACTTAAGCAGCTGGAATAAAATAAACTAAAATAATTCAATTTAATAAGTAAGATAATAAAATACGTAAGAAAATCAAATGAGAAACGTCAGTTTCTGTATTTCCGCGTCCAAAAATTGCAAAATTGTTTCACGGAATGTAATTATATGTATATATTACATGTCCAAAGTATATTTACATAACTATTGCGTTCTCGGCATTCGCTATTAATTGCTCAAGCATTATTTACGCTCATCCTCAACCGTCTAATAAGGAAACGATTGAGACTATCGCTCTTGAAAGTACTTCTGTTTTTGTTACTTTCGAATGTCTTGTCGGAGTAACATTTTAAATAAAAAAGTACAGATCTTTATGTATTTTCATGTATAATTGCCAAATTTACTTGGAACAGTTTCCTATATTTTATGATTACCATTAAAAGCAAATATATCGAATTAGTTGTAAAAAGTCGCAACCTACAGTAAGATATGTATAAAATAAGTATGTGTCTTTTATGAGCTATCCTACGACATAAAAGTTCATCGAACTTGGACAGATAATATGCGATCGTTTCCGCGTAAGATAAACGGAGTTGAGAAATCACGCAGTGCCACTGCTCGATAGCTCGATAACTTATGCACAAAGTTGAGTTTTCTTTTTTCATATATGTGAGAAATATACATGTTAAGAAATCCAATTATTTAGACGAATATTTCACAGGACAGGAAGTTATGGATTATCTCATGAACTTTCGGTTAAAAAATTCCAAATTTTCTTTTTTTGCACATCTTCAGTCTATAAATAAAATTACGAGATTGTTTCTAAAATATTCGCACAAATGGTGAAAGTATAAGACAATTTGTATTGTCAATCGTAACTATGGAGGATAGAAAATAGTGAAAGCATTTCCCGTGCAGGTGTTCTGGACAAATAAGGATGAGCGAATAAGCATATAGCGAATAATCGGGCGGGTTGGTGCTTCCACATCAAGAAACAATGCAACATATACAAGCGATACGTGATAAGGATAAATATTGATCTGCAGGCGAAAGTTTTTTTTCGAATATTATAATGGAACGCGCATTGCGACTGCGAAGAAACGTTCACGTGTGAGAGAAAATTGGCTCGTAAAGAGAGATCCCAATCAATCGAGAAAGGTAAGTACGAGAAATCAAATAAATTACTATATACTAGTCCCCAAATAGCCGATTAGATATAAAATAAATAAATATTCACTTTTTTTATGTACATAATTGCAAAACTTGCCCTATTTTGTATTTCTTAACGGCAGTCGTTATCGTTACATTATCGTCTCGAGCAATTTTTGTACTACATATATTATACATGCGCAACGACAATATAACGATAACGACACTGTCGTTAAGAGTTACAAAATCACAGACCCCTGAAACAATTTCCTAAGATTTATAGTTAACATTAAAGGTAAATATATCGAGTTAACTTTTAAAAACCAATCCGCAATCTACATTACGATACGTATAAAATGAGGCTCTTATATTTTCATCTATTCTACGACATGAAAGTTTATCACAAACTCAGACAGACGAGAAAATATCTGTTTTTGTACAAACTTGAAACTTTGTTCGCGTTTTTCATGAAAACAGTTGATATTTTATATTTTTACCGCGTGTGTTATTGTTCACGATCTATTTATTATTTAATTTATCTTCAGGCAACAATTCTCATGACGCTTTATGGACTTTTCCGTCGAAACTGTCATATTTCATAAAGATGCGTAACTGTATTTACTTACCCTCCATGACGAACACAGTAGAACCGACATCTCCCTCTTGAATAATTATCGAACCAGCTGGAAATGTTACAGGATACATGCAATCGACAATCTCCCGAATCTGCGTGAGTTCCAAATTTTTCATGAAGTCGTTGTCCAGTATGGCAGTCTTGATCAGCTCGCGAGATCTTGAAAAAAAAAAAAAAAAGACAATCATTGTTAAGCTTCTTTCTCTCTCTCTCTTTTTTACAAAAAGAAATAATATTCTTAGGAAAAACAAGAGCATAAATAAGTAACAAAAATATAATATTAAATGCATTTCGAAAACTTTTTGGTCATAGATTCATTAATAAATCTAATTGTAAGAAAAATTCTCGGTATGCAAAAATCTTATAAAAAATTATAATAATATATATTAATTAATCTCTAAAGTGTAACACTAGAGACAGTACGATTTCTATCTGAAAGTATAAGTCGCTATAAAGAGTGCTACGCAGTGAAATTGATATCCTCGAATACTTTCGTAATTAAGTTCCGCTTGTAGCCGTAGAGAGAATCATTCATGCGTAGTTACCGCTTTCAGCAAAATACCTTAATTGAATTTACTTTATCTCGTATTACATTATGTAATTATATGACTTTCAGTTCACAATTACAGATATTCAATTGCCAATATATCGCATATTATATTGCTCGAGTTGTAAAAATCTATAATACCATTAAAACAGTTAGGTATCTGTTTACGAATGACAAGAACAATTCTTTTGGAGCAGAATATTATCTTGACAGTTATTTTTCTTTTCATTTAATTTTATTTTTGTAAATTATGTATAAGTGCCTCATTTATACATCTACAACAATCAGAAATCATATACCGTGTTTACAATAAACGTCTTTTAATATATCAATTCGTACAAATATAAGGTCAAGATCAGCTGTTTCAATTTATAAATATATGCGGCAATAAAAATGATTTAAAAAAAGCGCATTTCTCTCGTTTCATCAGAAATTTGGTAGATTTCTGGAGATTTAACGGATGAAAAATAAGTCATGCGACACATCCAAGGCACTCGCCGATCTACCTTTGCGGCTTGGCGAACTTCACCACCGGTTTCGTGTCGCCTCTGAGAGGTTCCGCCGATATGGCTTGCCGCTTCAGTCTCCGATTAGAACCGATGGCGTTAGACGCTAGGCTCAGATCAACGATCTGCCGGAACTTATCGATCTCATTCTGAAGGTAACGGATCGTGGCGTCGCGCTCCTCGAGCGCCTTTTCGAGCAGCTCAACGATCTCGTCGCGACGTCGCAACGCCTCCGTACGCTCGTACAGCAATCGCTTCAGGTCTCGTATCGAATCCATCCCCTT